AGTCTCACACTGTTTGTGGTGTGAGTGTGTTTGTTATTCCTTCCCATTCATTTATTTTGTCTGTTTTCCTCTCAAACATAAAACAGTTTCCATAGCAACAGAATTTTAGCACTTAAATGAACTGAGAAAATAATCTTGCTCTTATCTTTAACAAGATACCAGAGTGCTTTGAATTAATTAAAACCAATCCTTCTGTTTTCTTTCATTTGTTTTGTTTTGTCTTTACAGAGTAAGCGCATAGGTCATTTCCTCTTCTGGTTCCTGCGCAGTGAGATTGCCCAGTCAATGCATTACCAGCAGAGGTATGCTGTGCTTCTGGAGGCCTACCTGAGAGGCTGTGGTGAAGCCATGCTGCAGGACTATAGGAAACAGGTCAGTAACAACTCATGCCTTACATACAGCTCCTTACACAAAACAGTATGTAAACTAAAACAAATGATAACCATAGGTAACCAGATCAAAACAGCTGATATAAATGATGTTCATTGGCTCTTCTGATCCCAGTACATTCGTAATCAAATGATTGAATGGCAACTGTTTATAATGATAAATTAGAACTGGTGCTCCGCAGGTGGATGTGACTGAGGCGCTGCAGCAAGTCACCCGTGAAATCAAGGCCATGTCCGCTGACAAATATGATGTCACTGCACAAGGTGAGGAGGAGTAACTATCAGATAATCCTGTAGCTGTGTGAACTGACTAAAGCACTGACACTAGGCTGCATCATTGACTACTCCTGGTAAAACTGCATTTTATGTTCTATAAGAACTTTTTTTTAAAATAAGTGCAATATATTTGAGTTTTTCTGTGGGACAACCTCTAAAGCAGTGACTTAAAATTGTATGTGATTATTAACTTTGTGCCTTTACTTTCAAATTTCATGTTTGATTTTTGATTTTAAAGTGCCCATTGCATGCTCATTTACAGCCATTTAATGTTTAATTTTGGGTACCTCTAGATTACCTTTACACCCATCTTAACTCCAAATAGTCAAGTCAAATATGTGTGTGTGGTGATGTTACATGGTGTGTAACTAAAACAATCGTTCAGACATAAATCTAACACAAGATTAATACAAGAAAACAATTGGTGTCATGGCTTACTGCTAACCTTGAAACAGAGCAGACTAGAGCAGACTTTGAATCTTACTAAACTACATTACTAACACATTAAAATCTAACACATTAATGTCTAATAATTATCTGCCTGATGTATTAATTTTAGTCCGTGTGTGTCTGCAGAGGCCCAGTGTTCTACCTGTGTCTGGCCATTGGGGGGAGGTTGTGTGTGTATGTGTGACTAGGGGTTAGAGGGGTTGGGGGGGTGATTGATTTCACAGCTCTGGGGAAGAAGCTCTGTCTCAGTCTGTTTGTTTTAGCCTTTATGTATCTGTACCTTTTCCTGGAGGAAAGAGGCACAAGCAGACTGTTGCCTGGGCGGGTGGGGTCTGCAGCAATACGTCCGGCCTTCCTCTAGATCCGGTCAGTGTATAGTGAGTCCAGATCTAGAAGAGGACTCCCTACAATGCCCTGAGCTGTTCTCACCACCCAGGTCAAGTCCTTTCTGTCCTGTGCAGTGCAGCTGTCAGGAACAGCATGTAAAGCCTTCCGACAAAGTTGAGGGTGAACTCAATTATATAGCCAGACGAGGATAAGTAAAACACTGTCTTTTTAATAAGCGCACTGGTCAGACACAATCGATACACGAGGCTGGAGTCTGATTCAGCAAGTAACACTCTCAGGTTGATAATACAGTCCAGGGTCAGCGCCAGCAAACTTACACAGCCGAGGGATCCACAAACGAGAGGTCAGAGAGGGGAGTCCAATAGTTGATACACAGAGAAACACGATCAGAATCAGAGGGGTTAGGTAGTGCTCAGTGGTCATCATGACAGCAGCTCCCATACCACACTGTTGCACTGAGAGAGAGGATGCTCTCTACTGTCGCTCTGTAGAAGTTTGCGAGCAGCTGAGAGGAGAGACCAGCACGTTTTAGCTTCCTGAGGAAGAAAAGCCTTTGCTGGGCTTTCTTCACCAGGTGGGATGTGTTCAGAGACCAGGTCAGGTCAGATGTGATGTGGATGCCCAGGAACTTGATGTTATCCACTTGCTCCACCACCTCCCCATGTATGAGAAGAGGAGCGTATTTTGTCTTCCTGGACCTCCTATAATCCACAATGACTTCCTCAGTCTTGTTGGTGTTCAGGACGAGATTGTTATCTGAACCCCACCTTGTCAGGTGCTGGATCTCCTCTCTGTAGTGAGTCTCATCACTGTCTGAGATGAGACCCACTACAGTGGTGTCGTCCGCGAACGTCACTACTGTGTTTGTGGGGTGAATGGCATCACAGTCATGGGTAAACAGAGTGAAGAGAACTGGGCTGAGCACACAGCCCTGGGGTGTGCCTGTGTTCAGGACCAGTGTGGATGATGTGCAGCTTCCGCTTTTCACCACTTGAGGCCTGTTAGTGAGAAAGTCCTTAATCCAATGAGACAGCACTACATTCATTCCCAGATTGTGCAGTTTCAGTGCCAGTTTGTCTGGGATTACAGTATTAGGTATTACAGTGTTAAATGTCGAACTGAAGTCAACAAATAGCATCCTGACATAAGTGTTAGGATGCTCCAGGTGGGGACAGGACTGTGTGTAGTGCTATTGAGACAGCATCCTCTGTTGATCAGTTCTCTCTGTAGGCAAACTGATGGCTGTCCAGACCAACAGGGATGGTGTCCTCTGTGCTTTAGACTGATCCTCTCAAAGCACTTCATGATTACTGGTGTCAGAGCAACAATCATTGAGGCAGGTGACAGCTGATTTCTTGGGCACAGGC